GCAGTTGTTAAGTGAATCTGTCTCCCCCCCATTGACTTTGCTCGTTGGAAGCCAGCTGGGAAGGTCACAAATGGTAATGACATGACCTCAGGACAGTGCAACCCTCGTAAATACAGTACATATGGGTTGGAAAGTATAGGAATTCTGATCATGTGACCATGAGATGCTGTAATGGTTGTAAATGCAAATACCAGTTGTAAATCACTTTTTTCAATATTGTTGCAACTTTGATTGGTCACTAAATGAAAGATTGTAAGTTGAGGACTACCTGTACCTAGTTTCCTTTAACGCAGCGGTCACCAACTGGTGGTCCGTGAGAAAATTTTGGTGGTCCGCAGAAAAATTATTTGGATTTTTTATATTGCACTAAATCAGGGGTCCTCAAACTATGGCCCCTGGGCTGAATATGTGCAATGAACGTTTGTGTTGCTGCAGAGAGTCTCCCCCTTTGGGGTCTTTTTGTGTGGGTCGGAGGGGGGCAGAAATTCCGACTCAGGGTCTGCTTCAGCCTCCTGGTGCGGGGCTTTGAGAGAAGGCTGGAGGGAAGTGCTGCTGGTGGCAAGGAGCCAGAGGGCCTTGTTCAAGTGGGACTGCATCAGTGGTGGGTTGCCCCTGGTTCGCACCGGTTCTATAGAACTGGTAGTAAAACCAGCAGGAGGCTCCATCCACTGACCCTGACGTCATCAAAATGCTTCTGCGCATGCGCGCGGCCCCGTTGCAAACCGGTAGTAAAGGTAAATAGAACCCACCTCTGGACTGCATCATGGCCTGGAACTGGCTGACCATCTCAGCCTGTTGAGCCTCCAGGCGCTGGTACCTGGCCTTGCACTCCTGCAGGTCTTCCCTCTGCTTGGAAAACCTACGCTTGTAGTCTTCGGTGAGGTGCTTCTGCTGAATGGTTGAATGGTTGTAAACAGAGGACTAACTATTTTTAACCTGGGCTGTGGTGAAATCTAAAATTTGCTACTACTGGTTCTGCGGGCGTGGTTTGGTGGTGGTGGGTAATTGTGACTGGGTGGGCGTGGCCAATTTTTTTTTTTAACTTTTAAAACCATTTTTTCTACAACCTCTTCGGCGAAAAATGCTTTCAAAAGGCTCTGACGATCCCAGCTGAGTTGCCTGATCGGCAGAGGCTTTTTTCTTTTAAATGCCTCCGATGATCAGGCAACTCAGCTTGGATCGTCAGAGGCATTTAAAAGAAAAAAAGCCTCTGCTGATCAGGCAACTCAGCTTGGATCGTCAGAGGCATTTAAAAGAAAAAAAGCCTCTGCTGATCAGGCAACTCAGCTGGGATCATCAGAGGCTTTTAAAAGCATTTTTCTACAACCTCTTCAGAGATTTTAAAAGCCTCTGACGATCCCAACTGAGCCGCACGATCATCAGAGGCTTTTTTTTTTTTTTACTTTTAAAAGCATTTTTTTGACCGAAGAGGTTGTAGAAAAAATGCTTTTAAAAGTAAAAAAAAAAAGCCTCTGATGATTGTGCGGTTCAGCTGGGCATGGGGGTGGGGGGAGGGCAGGGATTTTTGCTACCAGTTCTCCGAACCACCCGCCTTCATCGCTACCAGATCAGGCAATCCGGTCCGAACCGGGAACATTTCACCCCTGCCTGGGCTTATAGAAAAATGAGCACAGCGTGTGACACCTTAGATGACATCACATCTATTTGATGTAGGAGGAATCGGCTTCAGCAGAATTTCATCTGGAGAAGTTCAATATTTTGGAAATGATGGAGCAGAGCTAGGTAAAATCTCTCAGCTGTTAGTGACTTCATGGGTGTGTCCTTGCAGTTTTCTCAGAGGCAACATGGAAATATGTAATTTCCCATTTCCTCCTTCTGGACTATTTTTTCAATTTTACTGTCCGTTCCAGAACTATAGAATTTACAGACGCTGCCTGTTTACTGCGGTAATATTTCTTCGTGTAAACTTCCTCAGTGGCCCACACATTCCTTTCTCATCCTGCCTCAGTTTAACGTTTATCAAATGGAGGGGTAAATCAACAGAGATATTATTCTTTGCTTAAATGTCTTCAGATGGATCAGTTGCGAGGTTTTGACATATTGACACAAAGACCTGTCACACACACAGCTCTTCTCAAATTCAGATCTTAGCAGTGTTTTTACTATTAAAACCATTTTTTCTACAACCTCTTCGGCTGAAGAGGTTGTAGAAAAAATGGTTTTAAAAGCCTCTGACAATCCCAGCTGAGTTGCCTGACTGGCAGAGGCTTTTTTTTTTTTTTTTAAGCCTCTGACGATCCCAGCTGACTTGTCTGATCGGCAGAGGCTTTTTTCCTTTTAAAAACATTTTTTCTATAACCTCTTCGGCCAAAGAGGTTGTAGAAAAAATGCTTTTAAAAGCCTCTGATGATCCCAGCTGAACCGCGCGATCATCAGAGGCTTTTTTTTTACTTTTAAAAGCATTTTTTCAGCCAAAGAGGTTGTAGAAAAAATGCTTTTAAAAATATTTAAAAGATCCTCAGATGATTGCGCGGCTCAGCTGGGCAATGGGGGGGGGGCAGAGATTTTTGCTATCAGTTCTCCCAACCACCCGCCTCCATCGCTACTGGATGGGGTGTTCCAGTCCGAACCGGAAGCATTTCACCCCTGGATCTTAGCCCCAATATTTTGCAAAGTATGGAGCAGATCAAAGCAAGGTTGAGGTACTGGATTAGCTGTTCTTTGTTTCACTGGTAAGGGCTGTTTCAAAAGAAAAACTGGGTTTCGTTTCGGTATTTCATCATAGCTCTGCATCTATATTGTATTTTCTCCACAAATCTTCTTATATAACTACTTCTTGGTATTCCCCGTCTTTTGCAATATGGGAAGACTAGATCCAATGAAATTCCATTTATATTACATGTTTCTCTCTCTGTGTGGGAAACTCCCACCTCTCAGCAAAGTAATTCATTTCCAACTTAACGAGGCCTCCAGATTTCTATGCTGATTTTCCACTCCCAAAGAGAACACCTATGACGTGATGTGGTTCTGAAAGTATTTTGGAATCTGGAATCTGAACTACAATATAGGTAGCAGCGGCATCAGGAAGCTCCGCCCATCCGGCCGGACGTCATCAAATACGCTCTGCACATGTGCAGAAGTGGCGTGAGAAAACCGGTAGCAAAGATAAGTGAAATCTACCACTGATAGGTAGTCCTCGACTTACAGCAGTTCATTTAGTGACTTTTCCAAATTACAATGGCATTGAAAAATGTGATTTAGGACCGTTTTTCACAGTTATATGATCTTTGCAATTTGAACCAGTCATCATGTGATCAAAATTCAGATGCTTGACAAAACTGATTCATATTCATTACCATTGCTGTGTCCCAATGTTACATGATCACCTTTTCCAACCTTTTGACAAGCGAAGTCAATGGGAAAGTCAGATTTACTTAACAACCGGGTTACTAACTTATCAAGTGCAATGGTTTGCTTAACAACTGTGGGAGGAAAGGTCATAAAAACGGGGCAAAACTCATTTAACGAATGTCTGACTTAAGAACAGAAAATTTGGGCTCAGTTGTGGTTGTAAATCAAGGATTACCTGCATTTACCAGCTTGCATTAGGATTTCTTTTTATTAATTAATTTATTAAACACTTCACTCAAGACAATGCTAAACAATATATAAAAGCAATGCAACAATAAAAGCAATTAAAAGCTGCAAGTTCCTTTTTGGTAAACTTCAGAAATAAGACCCTGCTGTTTCCTTGGCCACAATTTTTGGGGATGATTTTCCTTTGTCCCTCTTCCTAGGACTGAGAGAAAGTGGCTCACTTGACACATGGTGAATTCACGGGTCTCCTGGGTTCTGCCTGATGCCTTTTACGCAGGGGTGAAATCCAGCAGGTTCTGACAGGTTCTGGAGAACTGGTAGCGGAAATTTTGGGTACTTCGGAGAACCAGCAAATACCACCTCTGGCTGGCCCCAGAGTGGGGTGGGAATGGAGATTTTGCAGTATCCTTCCCCCAGGAGTGGGGTGGGAATGGAGATTTTGCAGTATTCTTCCCTTAGGAGTGGGGTGGGAATGGAGATTTTGCATTATCCTTACCCTGGAGTGGGGTGGGAATGGGCCTGGTGGCGCAGCAGACTAATAGCCTGTTATTATCATTCAGCTGCCTGCAATTACTGCTAGGTCGAATCTCCCCAGGCTCAAGGTTGACTCAGCCTTCCATCCTTTCTAAGGTAGGTAAAATGAGGACCCAGATTGTGGGGGCAATAAGCTGACTTCGTATAAAAATATAAAAAAGTATGAAGGCTATTGCTTAACGCATTGTAAGCCGCCCTGAGTCTCCGGAGAAGGGCGGCATATAAATCATTTTTTTTTTTAAAAAAATGGGGATTTTGCAGTATCCTTCCCCTGGAGTGGGGTGGGAATGGAGATTTTGCAGTATCCTTCCCCTGGAGTGGGGTGGGAATGGAGATTTTGCAGTATCCTTCCCCCAGGAGTGGGGAGGGAATGGAGATTTTGCAGTATCCTTCCCCCAGGAGTGGGGAGGGAATGGAGATTTTGCAGTATCCTTCCCCTAGGAGTGGAGAGGGAATGGAGATTTTGCAGTATCCCTCCCCTGCCACGCCCACCAAGCCAAGCCCACAGAACCGGTAGTAAAAAAATAAAATAAAAATTGGATTTCACCCTTGCTTTTACAGCACACCAAATTGCCCCCCATCCCCATCCCCACTTTCCAATAATAAAATGCACTAATGGGATATACAGCCCATCGCTAAGGTCAGTCAGGGCATTATAATATATATGGCAATCTTGAAACCAGCATGAGTTGTGCTTTTTTGGCAAGCCGTAAGACTGGCCGGTAAGGACTTTAGCAGACAATTTTCTGCTTTTCGAGACGCCGGGGGTTTTTTTTCCCCACGCACCCACCCACCCCAAACTCGGGTTTGTCACCCTGAGAAGCCGGTGGGTGCCACCTCCCAAGATGGCCGCCAGGGCATCCTTGGCACGCCGCACACGTGGGCACCGAGGTTGGGCGCAAGCGCGCGGCGCTGCCCGGCTGCTGGTAGCTGCTGCTGTGGCGGCGGGGATCCCCGGGAATCGGGTACGGGACGGTCTTTCCCTCCCGTCAGATCCCAGCGCCGAGAATGTCGAGCCGACTGCCGCCCTGCGTCGTAGACAGCGGCACCGGGTGAGTGAGCACTGCGAAATCCATTAAGCCGCGGGCTGCGTCTCCTTCCCCTCCTCCTCACGCAGCACTAGCGGCTTGGCTAGGCAAGGCAGGGCTGCCCTGGTAGGGTCGGGCGAGTCTCCGCTGTCTGACTCGTCTCCTCCCATCTCAGCGTCGGAGCAGGTGCCGGTTCGGCCCTTTCCGTACTACAACACCACCTCCGCCCCCTTTTTCCTCCGCCAGCACTAGCGCCTTGGCTCTGCACTCCTGGTAGAACAGAAGGAGAGACGTGCCGGCTTCTCTCCACCTTTCTCCTTGATCTCAAGGCAGGGATGCCCTCTTTCTTTCTTTCTTTCTTTCTTTCTTTCTTTCTTTCTTTCTTTCTTCCTTCCTTCCTTCCTTCCTTCCTTCCTTCCTTCCTTCCTTCCTTCCTTCCTTCCTTTCTTTTTTGAATCAAGTTTTATTGATTTGCCCCCCTCCCCCATTTTCACCCGCATGTTTTATGAACAGAGTATTGGCCATATCATAACTTATACAATTTATCTTATTCAAATACATTTTACTCAGCTACAATTTTTGCCAAAATTTTCTTTTTCCATTTTTTGATCATGTCTTGAAATTTCTATGCTTATTTGTATAAACAACATCTTTATTCGCCCTCAAATTCTAATTTCACTGTTTCTATTCATATTTATTCTCTTTTATTTTTTAATAATTCATTCTTTATCCTAGTGCATTTATACAAGTTCGGGGTTGCCTTTCTTCCATTTCATCTTTTTTATTGTACAGCAATTTTTCTTCTCAATCTCTTCCATCTCCCTCCCTTCTTTCCTTTCTACTTTCTTCTTCCTTCTTCTCCTACTCCTTCTCTACTTCCCCTTCCTTTCTCCCTCTCCTCCTCTCCTTCTCCCTTTCTAACCCTCTCTCCTACTCTTATTTCCCCTTCCTCCCTTCCTCTTTCTGCTTCTCCCAGCAGCCCTTCTCTGCACCCAAACTCTGCCCCTCCTTTCCCCCCCATCCTGTGGCTGTGCTAAGTGGGGTAACAGTAACAGAGTTGGAAGAGACCTTGGAGCAGGGGTGGGTTCTAACCAGCTTTATTACCGGTTCTCTTTGTGTGCGCGCTTCATGCGCGATCGCCTCTTCTGTTGCGTGCTTCATGCGCGGTCACCACGCACATGCTCGGTTCACTCGCAGGACACCAAACTTGCGCTTTGCGCAAGCGCGTTGCGAATCTGCCCAGCTGAGGTGCGGCAATCTGCTCTGCCGCACCTTTCAGCTGGGCGAAAAAACCGACATATAAGGTCGGCATAATGCCGGGGCGGGCGGGCGGGCCCAGCTCCCGAAGACAGAGAACCGGTTCGGTGACGTCATATCGTCACCGCTACCGGCTCTCGCGAACCGGGCCGAACCAGGAGGAATCCACCACTGCCTTGGAGGTCATCTAGTCCAGAGCTCACCAACCTTTCAGATCTCAGGGACCACTAAATTCATAATTTTAAATCCCGTGGACCACTAATATGAATTTTTAAAAAAGGTAAATAGTATTTAGTGCAATATAAAAAATGCAAATAATTTGTTGTGCCAAATGGAGCCCACTCTTTACACAGAGGTCTGCCGGTGCTAGAAAGAATCACACGGCTTTCCCTCGCAATCCTGAACTAGTTGTGGGGCTCCATCCTGTTTCTCTGCCCTCACATTCCTGTCTTTTCATGCCTCCCCTCCCCGAAGGACAACTTTTTCCTAGTACCTTTGCTTCCCCCTAGTGCCGGATCCACCCTCTCCCCCTCCCCAGCAGTCTCACTTGTGTTTTTTTTTTGTTTTTTTTTTTTACTTTAGGAATAATAAGCTGGAGGCCCCAGAGATCAGTGACGATTGCACCCCTCTTGAGTCACTTCTCCCAGCCTGAGACCCAATAATTGCCTCTCCTTTATTTCCTTGCAAGGACCCCCCAAGAGGCAAATAGCTCCTCTTCTAAAAAAGCAAACAAATTTCAAAACTATCAGAAGTCAGCCCAGGTAGCATCATCCATCCATCCATCCTTGATTATAGAAGTTATAGAAAAAACATCTAGGCGTCTGAACTTCTTGCTCTGTTTCTCTCACCCTTTGCCAGTTTTGTTATTGTCTCTAAAAATACACACTGAGTTCTCTCTTGTTTCTCAGCTTTCTGCTACACTTTCTTGGAAGTCCTCACACACACACACACACACACACACAAAAACAGCTTTCATTTTATAATTCCATTTTCTACTCAGTGTAGATCAGGGGTCTCCAAGCTTGGCAACTTTAAGACTTGTGGACTTCAACTCTCAGCAAAGCTGGCTGAGGAACTCTGGGAGTTGAAGTCCACAAGCTTTAAAGTTGCCAAGGTTGGAGACCCCTGGTGTAGATTAGTCAGTTAATGTAAGGATTTCATTCATTCTCTTTCCCATTCGTTTGGCTCTCTACTTTCCTTAGTTGCAGGTCTTCCAAAGGGGTGCTTCCCTTGGCTTGATCGGACCTCCAACAGAAGCTTCTGAGTGGTTCTTGCCTACATATCTCTGCCAATCTTCCTACCTTTTAGCTTTTTTCCACAGGAGCCAGCTATTCAGAGAACAAAACTTGAGAACTGGGCTTGTTTGCTAAAGATTCTACTTGACTGCCATTCTGTACAGGTAGTCCTTGACTTAGAACCATCATTGGGCCCGAAATTTCCATTGCTAAGCAAAGCAGTCGTTAAGTGAGTTTTGCCCCATTTTACGATCTTTCTTGCTAAGTTGTAAGTGATTCACCACAGTTATTTATTTAATAACATGGTTCTTAAGTGAACCTGGCTTCTCCATTGACTTTGCTTATCAGAAGGTCGTAATTACGTGACCCTGGGACACTGCAACCGTCATAAATACATGCCGGTTTCCAAGGGTACAAATTTTAATCAGGTGACCATGGAGATGCTGCAGTAAATGTGCAAAAAGGTCATAAATCACTTTTCGCGATGTCCTTGTAACTTCAAATGGTCACTAAATGAATGGTTGCAAGTTGAGAACTACCTGCATGTATGTATGTATTTATATATATGTATATTGCCTTTATTATTTTTACAAATAATTCAAGGCTGCAAATATATCCAACGGACTTTCCTCCTCCTATTTTCCTCACAACAACAAGCCTGTGAGTTGAGCTATATTGAGAGAGAGTGACTGGCCCAAGATCACCCAGCTGGTTTTCAAGCCTAAGGCAGGACTTGAACTCACAGTTTCATGCTTTCTAGCCTGGGTGCCTTAACCACTAGACCAAATTGGCTGTCCTCAACTTATAATCGGGACCAGAATTTCTATTGCTAAGTAAAGTGGTTGTTAAGTGAGTCATGTCTGAGTTTAGGACTTTTTTGTCATGATTGTTAAGCAAATCACTATAATTGTGTAGCGAATTGGCTTCCCCCACTGACTCTGCTAGTTGGGGGCTGGCTGGGAAGATTGCAAATGGCGATCATTTGAGCTCTGGACTCTGCAAATATGCCAGTTGCCAAGCTCCCACGTTTTGATCATATGAGCTGTGGGAATATTGCTAGGGTCAAAGTATGAGGGCCAGTGGTAAATCACTTTACTTGACTTCAAACAGCACTCCTTACTAGCACTGATGATGTTACCTAGGTAGGGTAATGAAATGTCTCCAAGAAAACAAGCAAGAGAGCACTTTAGCAATAACAGTGAAGCCATAAAAACAAATCAAAATTCATAGACATAAGGATGGCTGTGTACCCTGGTTTTAGAAGTGCAGATAGTCCTTGACTTACAACCATTCCTTTAGTGACCATTCAGAGTCACTGCACTGAAAAAAAAATGACTTATAACCAGTTCTCTCACTTATGACCATTGCAGCAGTCCCATAGTCATGTGATCAAAATTTGTGCGCTTCACAACCTGCATGAATTTATAATGGTTGCAGAGTCCTAGGATCCTGGCATGGTCATTTGCACCCATCCTAGGGAACTTCTGACAAGCAACGTCAATGGAGGAAGACAAATTTGCTTAATGACTGCATGATTCACTTAACAACTGCAAGTTATTTTCTCAAAACGGTGGCAAAACGTTATAAAATGGGGCACAACTCAGTTAACAACTGTTATGTTTAGTAATAGACATTTTCGGCTCACTTGTGGTTGTAAATGGACGACTGACCTACAAGCCAATCAGATATATAACCTTGTATATGAACAACCTTTTCTTTGTTAATATGGAAGTGAAGCAAAAAAGAGCTATATCTGTTTTCCACTGTACCTAATCATCAGTTAACCAAATTACAGTGGTTGCATCAGTCTATGTCCCCGATGTGTTGTAGGGATGTTAGATGCTAATAAATCTATGTCTCTGTGTTATGCAGTCCAACATTGTTTTGGTAATTGATAGATCCTTTGTTCATTACGTGCTTGTCCTCCTTCTAAACTCCATAGCATGATTGGGATAGTTTTATTTTGGATTTTTTCATTTTATATATATATTTTACTCTGCCTTTATTTTTATAAATAACTCAAGGCATTGGCATACTTAATACTCCTTCTATTTTCCCCCGCAACAGCAACCCTGTAAGGTAGGCTGGCTGAAAGTCATCTGGTTTTCATGATTAAAGTGGAACTAGAACTCACAGTCTCCTGGGTATTGGCCCAAAGTCACCCAGCCAGCTTTCATGCCCACGGCAGTATTAGAACTCGCGGTTTCCTGATAATTGGCTCAAATTCACCCAGCTGGCTTTCATATCTAAGGTGGGAGTAAACCTCACAATCACCTGGTTATTGGCCCAAAGTCACCCAAGAGGACTATTATTCTTAGCCTCCTGGTTTCAGGCCTGATGGTTTAACCACCAGACCAAACTGGCTCTCTTCTTCCTGCATTTTAGGTAGACCCATTAATAGCTACATAACACAACGCTATCTGCCCGTTTCAATTCTCCTCTTAGTTTCTATCTATCAATCTCTCTTCTGCAATTCTAGAGATCAACTTACACATTGACCCTAAAGTCAGGAGGCATACTGATCTATTTAAA